GAGTTTCTCCCGTTTCCCCATCCCAAATAATATTTACAAGTTATTTAACAAAACCTAAACAACAATTACTAGAGAACTCACAAATAACTAAAAGCCCCAAAATTAATTACAATATATTGGGTCGAACCATGTTGCGATACCTATACCAGGCACAGTATTGTTACACAAAATATGGGGGAACGGAAGGAGCTCTTTCAAGTAAATCTACGAATGTTATTTTGGACCAGTGAAGTACAGACAGGACCACTAATTATTGTCCACTTAATGGTCCTGTGGTCTAGTGGGAAATTTTGAAAGGTTTCTTTCCCTGATAACTAAACAGGCTAGAATGCACTTTACCGGGCACAGCCCTCGCTGCTCCCTTTACGATCCTTAGGGTTAGGGTATGCCACCCTTTACGATCCTTAGGGTTAGGGTATGCCACCCTTTACGATCCTTAGGGATAGGCACCCTTTACGATCCTTAGGGTTAGGGGTTAGCATGGTTAGGGTTAGGGAACCCCAACAGCGCTATTTAAGCTGAAAAAGTGCGCCCGGTAAAGTGCAGTTCTCCCACTAAACATTACAGGGTCACACTAAAATTATATTTACGATCCTAATTCTTCGAAACAAGATTTTATAAGCTTCAGATCATGTAAGAAATGTTTAAGACTGGTTATTACCTTTAATGATATATGATGTCTCTTAACCAGTCACCAGAACTTCTCACATTTTGTGTACACTACTTAAATCCACCACCAGTGAATATATATGACTGTTGCATCTAGTGGAAATGTGTAAAATACAAACCACTTGTCAAAACTGGTATTTCATCAAATTGATTAAAAAGAAATCATCTGATTTTTGTTGGTCAGATAATAATATTTATAACATACCAAATCTGCACCATAAACATGATAAAGCATGTCTTTCAGTGGCATTTAGAAGTTGTACATTGATGTCCAAGATATTTTTATGGATTAAACTTCTTTTATAATTTCTCTCACGACGTTTCGAGACCAATCCAGGTCCCTTCATCAGGTGAACTGGCAGTTAGGACTATGACGTCGTCACTATGATGTCATAACTGAGTTATGACTTCACAATGCAAGTGACATCACAGTACACTAGGGAGAGTACTGTATAAGTGAGTTTGAAGAGTTCATAGTGACAATGTCATAGTCCTAACTGCCAGTTCATCTGATGAAGGGACCTGGAATGGTCTCGGAAACGTCGTGAGAGAAATTAAAAAAGAAGTTTAATCCATAAAAATATCTTGGACATGATAAAGCATGCTCAAAAGTGCTACATTAGTTTCTCAGTCAGTGGTGGAGTGTGCACTCAATTTTAATTCTCAGCAACTTAAGCAACTCCTACTGGGTACTGAAAGATAGCCTTGTAGCTCCTTTATGTAGCTCAGTTATGAGTAAAAATATCGTAACCTAACTGTCCCTGTAAGTTTCATTTGTTCTTTTTGTTGCAGCCAAAGGTCACAAGCGAGGGAAGAAAGTGAGGTGTTTCAGTGAAGGTTGGGTGGAGTTCGAAGACAAGAGGAAGGCAAAGAGAGTGGCAGCCAACCTCAACAACCAGCAGATAGGAGGCAAAAGGAAGAGTCCATGGTATGAAGAAATCTGGAATATCAAATATTTACATAAATTTAAATGGGCCCACCTCAATGAAAGACTTGCCTATGAGAAGGCAGTCCACGAACAAAGAATGAGGACAGAGATATCTCAGGTTAAACGTGAGGCTGACTTCCATAAACAGAATTTTGAAAAGAGTAGAATGTTGAAAGACATTGAGCAGAGGAAAAGGAAACAGGGAGAAAAGTTTGAGGTGCAGGATTTTAAATTCAAACTGAGAGACACAGAAGATGAGATTTTGGCAAAGAAACAAAAGCTTGGAAGTGGAAAGAAGCCAGAACGACTCAGTTCAAAAGCTGCAGGGTCAAGCAAGTCATTCCTTTCCAGTTTGTTCTCAGGTGGAGGCAAAATGAAAGATGACTAGGATGAATAAAACATGAATAAAACATCTTTGGTTTTGTCTTGTCACTAAAACTGATGTTTATGTTAAGTGCATGTAACAGAAAATGTAGTAGTACAATTTAACACATGACATTACCATTGCAGCCAGCTGGAGGGAAAGCATTGTCAGTCACACTTTCTTGTACGTGAATGATGGCGTAAATACTACTGAATTTGGAGTTAATACTATTGGGATAGGGGTGGGCATTTGCTCATCTTTTGCTGAAAACCTGGGTTCAATTTGTTCAAACACTGGGAGAATGTGTAAAGCCCAATTTTTAAACTTATCCTATCTCACGGTATGCACTTCTCTCTCTTGATTCGACACTGTGAGTGGAACAATGTAAACTTTTCCCTTAGGCCTCTCTTGTCCATCCACCCAAGCACTCCATACTACCCTCACTATAAGACAGCTAAGGCGGATGGACAAGAGAGGCCTAGGGAAAAAGTTTACAGCGTTCCACTCAGTGTCGAGTCAAGAGCGAGAAGTGCATACCGTGAGATAGGATAAGTATATAAATATACAATTTATATTAAGATTTTCAGTTTTGGGTCTCCCAACTGTTATATTGTGGGAATATTGCCAGAAGTGACGTAAAATGATCCCAGCCACTCCCTTCAGACCAACTCTCCACTAACCATTAGCGGATCACAAACCATTTGGTGGTATGTCATGCTTGCAGTTATAAGTGTACAAAAAATGAGGATTGGCTGGTCAAAATATTGTGACTTTTGCTGATTGTTGCTTGGTGTTCTCGAAAGTCATGAGAAGCTGGACGAACATGAATACATGACACGTTTGAACTTTTATGGATAACAACTTCTTTTATTCTTTATACGATGTTTCAGCAAGAATTAGCTCTGAAACATGTAAATAATAAAAAGAAGTTGTTCCCTATAAAACATGTCATGTGTTCATGATTTCTGCTTGTGACATTGCTACTATTGCTGTAAACTGCTGAGTGACTACTTTCAACCTAGGATGTTTTCTAGATTTCTTTAAAATAAAGGACAGAATCAAATGTGACATTGTCGCCTTCGAATGTCCAGTGTATAACATGACCATTCTATTTTGATAAATATCTGGAACCCATTGGACTCCAAAGCTCGAGACACAACCATCTCCATTGCTCAGATCTCTAACTTTGCACACAATGCTTCTTCCCTGTTGTTTGTTTTGATACATGTATATAAATGTGAAAAAGTCGTTTTTCCCAACCAGACCCCACATCAGGTTATGTCAGCCCATTATAGGTCATGTGTCCTGTTCCAGGTCATCACACCATCTACCAGTAGTACAGTTCAATCTTATAATGTAACAGGAAGTTTGCCACAATGGCCACGATAATTTGTATCTGGAGCTTAGTCTTGTATCAGGAATCCTATATTCCAGTATGGTGTTATATTAGTAGCTGTGTTTACGTATATATAGACCAGTTATCACTACAAGCGTGCCACCTTGGTACAACTGATTGCTATTGTCGGATAGCATAGCTTGACGAGTCATCTTGAGATTTCCCTCGACCCTGTTATTTCTATTGCGAAGACGCTATTGTTGGAATGTGATTATAATGCTTAAACAAATATGAGTCAAAGTAAGAAGTTTATATGTATATTTCAATTATCAACTTACACTCGCATCAAAGCTCATATCGAGGTTATATCCCAGTGGTTGGTGTAAATCCAGGTGGCTTGGTCGATCACGACTAGTGGAAATATATTAATGAAATTTTGAATAAAATTAAACAATGTCGTACAAGCATAAGTCAATATATGGGAGAAACATTTATTTACAACAAGCATGTTAAATGACACGAGTAGATTAACACAGATCACATGATACCCGACCCTTGATTCAACATCAAGGGTGATGCCCGGTGATGAATTGCAAAACGTTACGTCGTACATCATAAAGTGTGGTTAGTGTCCGGTAAGGGAGACACAATACTGTGTATTTTACACAGTTGGTAATAGAAAGTCACTGTCCCGATCCGGAAGCCGAATTTCCGGTTAAATGAGGGATTTTATGTTTATTTCGAGTCACGTAAATGCGAGGTTTCCAGATATCAGGGGGCCGTATAAGCGAGGTTCCACTGTATTCCTTTCTAATAGCAACGCTGGGTTTATACTCAGCTTTGTAAATCTTTGATAAATTGTCTCATAAATTCACAAGTGTGTAGTGCAGTGAAATGCTAACTCATCTATATTGTAATAACTTATCGATGAAACAAAAATCTGGCCATCCTCCTGCAACCACGACAAGAGTATTTTACGTGAGCTTCAATTACTTCTCGTATCAAAGATGTAACAGTAGGCTGAGAGGGAAATGACCTTGTACAGCACAGCGACATGAGATTCCCCCTCCTTCATATCCATCTATATTCCTGCTGTCTGTAAATTGTGTATGGGCAAGGCGCACAGGTCGTGACATCATGAGCAATGCCGGGTGTCAGGCTTACATTCAAATCGCCTGATTATGCATAGGAACCGTCCCATCTCATCAATCGGCTGTATGGACTTGTCACTGCGTCACATGGCCATTTAACACCATGCGGACAAGTAAAATGCTAAGACATTTATTGTAAAATACTATTTGGTACAAATGCTATCTACAGTACTTTGGGTATCTCAAACTCCTATTTTGATGAGGGTATTTATATTCTCTCTCTCTCTCTATCTCTTTCTCCCCCGATTCGCTTGATATACCAATGTAAATATGACTATCCCAATAAACAATTGAGTAGTATAATTTAGTTCAGCCACCTTATACCCCCTCTTATATGATGGAATGCGGAGCCATTAATTACACTGTCAGAGTAAACAATGTTTGTGACGTTGATACTGATTTAATTGCTCTGGTCTGATCGCCTCTGAAACAATACAATACAAACATGGGTTATCTGAACCTGAGTCAGTTTGGAACAGCCATTTTGTATAGTAGCTCACTAGATGTATCCAAATGAGTCCTGTGGCTCTAGGTGAGAGGAGAACCGGGACTGATACAGCTGGTAGTCCTACCACAATTGGTGAAGTAAACGAGCATGAGATTTGTTCACACAGATCAATAATCATGGCCGTGCCATATGGGGAATTCAAACCCAGGACCAACAGATCCTGGTACAGCAGTAAGGGACGCAACTGTGCACTGCAAATTGCGACGCTGGGACGCCCGTATGTTCTCCATAGGACTGATCGTTGAACACACACCACTGTAATGAAATCCACAAGAATAATCTCCCCGATGAAGCACCATATTTGGGTCACATGGATAATTTGAAAACATCACAACATGTCCGGGAAGGAACATGAAGGTAATTCGTCTGTTTGCATGGAACTTAGCTCCCCTGTGAACACAAGGTCACGGGTCTCCCCTCCACCGTCTAGGTCTGGTTTGTCTGGCAACGACCCCATGCCGGACAACATCACTGACCGCGACCCTTGCCCGGGCAACTGTGATTCTTGCTCGAAGTCAGGCCTTCCAGGTAACCGTGTCGTCTGTTCGTACGCAGGTTGCCCTGGCAACTGTGCGTGCTCTCTTTGAAGCCGCCTCACTTTCTGTTTCTCATTTTTCCACCATATTTTCAACCTAGCCGGGGTAATTTTGGGTCTTTCCTGGCGTGTATGACCTTTGTTGAGTTCGTTTGCATAAAACCGTAATTTCTCGGCAGAAGGTGTCTTGCAGGATTTAAACCACGTCTTCAGAAGAGGAATCTCCAGATCGGGATGAAACGTCAACCGAGTGTCCTTTGGGACACCCTTCGTGTCCAGGGATGGGAAATCTGTAAATACACACAACAATCCGACAAAGGAACATTGATAGTACAACCAGTGTGTATTGATTTCCGAAAGTATGTGTTCCTAAGAAAAGCAAGATTAATGGATGTCAACTTATGTATTGTGAATAATTTGCATTCCACTTCTTAATGCCCTTCAAAGATTTGAGCGTGTATTCCGTTGGATAATTGAGACTGGTTATTCTCTTCCATTGACGTATAATATATTTACTTGATCTGAGTCGAATCTTCTGTTGCCTGTCGTAACCTAATAGCATTTTTGAATTGGGTAAGCTACAAAAAGTGTTTTGCCACAGACGTTTTTACCGCCCCTAACTGCATTGCAAAAAAGAAAAGATTTCCTAAACGCCCTTTTCTCATTAGCAGCAGGAGCTCTGTACTTCTACACAGAAGACATAATTCAAAATTACCATATTGTTTTCAGTTTCAACAAAGTTTGTCAATGCGCTTTCCTGTGCCTTGATTTGGATTGCCTGGTTTATTAACATGCCACTGAGGTGTTGGCTCCTCCACTGAGATGTTCGGCTACTACACTAAGGTGTTGGCTACTACACTAAGGTGTTGGCTACTACACCGAGATGTTTAGGCTACTACATGCAGGTGTTGGCTGCGACACACCAATGTGTTGGCTACTACACTGAGGTGTTGGCTCCTCCACTGAGGTGTTCGGCTACTACGCAGGCTGAGGTGTTGAGCTACTACACCAAGGTGTTCAGCTACTACACCAAGGTGTTCAGCTACTACACTGAGGTGTTGGCTACTACACCAAGGTTTTCGGCTACAACACCAAGGTGTTGGCTACTACACCGAGGTGTTGGACTACTACACTGGGTGTTCTTGCTACTATGCTGAGGTGTTGGCTACTACACCGAGATGTTCAGCTACTACACCAAGGTGTTCAGCTTACTACACCAAGGTGTTCAGCTACTACACTGAGGTGTTGGCTACTACACCAAGGTTTTCGGCTACAACACCAAGGTGTTGGCTACTACACTGGAGGTGTTGGCTCCTCCACTGAGGGTGTTCGGCTACTATGCTGAGGTGTTGGCTACTACACGGAGAGATGTTCAACTACTACACCAAGGTTTTCAGCTACTACACCAAGGTGTTCGGCTACTACACCGAGGTGTTGGCTACTACACCGAGGTGTTGGCTACTACACGGAGGTGTTTGGCTACTACACCGAGGTGTTCAACTACTACACTGAGATGTTCGGCTACTACCGCGGAGGTGTTTGGCTTCTACTCAGGTGTTCAGCTACTACTTCGATGTCAGCTACTACACCGAGGTGTTTGGCTACTACACCAAGGTTGTCAGCTACTACACTGAGGTGTTGGCTACTACACTGAGGTGTTGGCTACCACACTGAGGTGTTGGCTACTACTATACGGAGGTGTTGGCTACTACACTGAGGTGTTGACTACTACACTGAGGTTGGCTACTATACGGAGGTGTTGGCTACTACACTGAGGTGTCTGCTACTACACTGAGGTGTTGACTACTACACTGAGGTGTTGGCTACTATACGGAGGTGTTGGCTACTACACTGGAGGTGTTGCTGCTACACACGGAGGTGTTGGCTACTACACTGAGGTGTTGGCTACTATACGGAGGTGTTGGCTACTACACTACATACGGAGTGGAGGTGTTGGCTACTACACTGAGGTGTTGGCTACTACACTGAGGTGGCTACTATACGGAGGTGTTGGCTACTACACTGAGGTGTTGGCTACTACACTGAGGTGTTGACTACTACACTGAGGTGTTGGCTACTACACTGAGGTGTTGGCTAGGTGTTGGCTACTACACTGAGGTGTTGGCTACTACTGAGGTGGTTGGCTACTACACGGAGGTGTTGGCTACTACACTTACTACACTGAGGTGTTGGCTACTACACACGGAGGTGTTGGCTACTACACTGAGGTTGGCTACTACACGGAGGTGTTGGCTACTACACTGAGGTGTTGACTACTACACTGAGGTGTTGACTACTACACTGAGGTGTTGGCTACTACACTGAGGTGTTGGCTACTACACTGGAGGTGTTGACTACTACACTGAGGTTGGCTACTACACTGAGGTGTTGACTACTACACTGAGGTTGGCTACTATACGGAGGTGTTGGCTACTACACGGAGGTGTTGCCTACTACACTGAGGTTGGCTACTATACGGAGGTGTTGGCTACTACACTGAGGTGTTGACTACTACACTGAGGTGTTGGCTACTATACGGAGGTGTTGGCTACTACACTGAGGTGTTGACTACTACACTGAGGTTGGCTACTACACGGAGGTGTTGGCTACTACACTGAGGTGTCTGCTACTACACTGAGGTGTTGCTACTACACTGACTACTACACTGAGGTGTTGGCTACTACACTGAGGTGTTGGCTACTACACTGAGGTGTTGGCTACTACACTGAGGTGTTGGCTACTACACTGAGGTGTTGGCTACTACACTGAGGTGTCTGTTGGCTGCTACTACACTACACTGGAGGTGTTGGGCTACTACACTGAGGTGTCTACTACACAGGGGTGTCTACTGCACGGAGGTGTTGGCTACTACACTGAGGTGTCTGCTACTACACGGAGGTGTTGGCTACTACACTGAGGTGTCTGGCTACTACACGGAGGTGTTGGCTACTACACTGAGGTGTCTGCTACTACACTGAGGTGTTGGCTACTACACTGAGGTGTTGGCTACTACACGGAGGTGTTGGCTACTACACTGAGGTGTCTGCTACTACACTGAGGTGTTGGCTACTACACTGAGGTGTCTGCTACTACACAGAGGTGTTTGCTACTACACTGAGGTGTCTGCTACTACACAGAGAGGTGTTGGCTACTACACAGAGGTGTTTGGTTACTACACTGAGGTATTAGGTCCAGTGGGATCGGTTTCGTGTGACCTCGCGCGCTTCCGTTTAATGCTTACCTGCTGCCTGTTTCGTGTAACGCCGATACCACTCGCCGAACTCCTCACACTTGTCGCTGCTTAACTTGTTGATGTACTTGCCGTTAGCGATGTTGGATATCATTGACTGACAAAGGGGAGATAACTTCGCAAGCGTCGATTGGTTGATTTCCTTCAAGAGCGAGAGAACAGCACAGCGCACATTATGGTCGTTCCAGTCCTTTGTCGTTTTCGGGTCAGGACCTCTGTCAAAACAAGAAACTGCATCAACCCGCATTTGGAATAGCGGCACAGCAAGAGGCCATATTAAACGAGAACATATCACACAGTCGTGGATCAAAACAAGGGCGAGACCTTCTTAAGCAACAGTGGTTGGGTCACTGTCAAAACAAGGAGCTGTTTCAAACAATGTTTTTGCACTGTCAAAAACAAAGAACAATTCATGAAACAGTGGTTGGTATAGGAGCAACCAAGCAGCCAACTCATTGGTGGGAGGACATACAAAATAAGGAACTTTGTCAAACAAGAGTTATCAGGAGATGGCACATTCCCCGATCTGGCGCACTTCGGCCTTATGACCCTCCATGCAAAATTCGGCGGAGAAAACAAAATGGTTGTTGGCATTTCTAAAACCATCAAAAGACACCAGTTCTTTAAAGCAAGTTTCCCAAGGAAATATTAAATGGTTGGTTTGTGTTTAACGCCGCACTCAACAATATTCCAGCTATATGGCAGCGGCCTGTAAATAAGCGAGTCTGGAATAGACAATCCAGTGATCAACAGCACGAGTATCGATCTACGCAATTGGGAATCGATGACATGTGTCAACCAAGTCAGCGAGCCTGACCACCCGATCCCGTTAGCCGCCCTTTATAGCAAGCATGGTTTGCCGAAGATCAGTTCTAACCCGGATCTTCACGAGTACTAAACGGACGGAGGACGGACATGCTGATTACTACTTTATCTACCGGGGTGATAACAATATAGGGTCAAAAACAAGAACCTACTTCAAGCAATGGACGATTATTTACAATATGCGTGGTCCTATACGTTGAGTGCGGCTTGGAAACAACAGACATAACCTAACACTGGTGACTATGAGTGAGTGAGTGAGTTTGGTTTAACGCCGCTTTTAGCAATATTCCAGCAATATCACGGCGGAGGGACACCAGAAATGAGCTTCACACATTGTACCCATGTGGGGAATCGAACCCGGGTCTTCGGCGTGACGAGCGAACGCTTTAACCACTAGGCTACCCTGCCGCCTCCTGGTTACTATGGTTTTACCTGAGTCAGCATATTCAAAACAGGAACTTTTAACAGTATTTTGCCTTAGTAAGCAGTTGTCGTCGATCACTTGCACACTTGTAACATGATATACGTTAGTGTATACATCCTATATCCCTCTCCAATTGACCTTGCTTTTTGGACGAATATAGATATATTATCACATGCCATGTCAGTTACATCCTATATCCCTCTCCAACTGACCTTGCTTTTTGGACGAAATATAGATATATTATCACATGCCATGTCATTATATCCCGTGTTACCTCTTGACCCAGTAGACAAGTTCCGTAGTGTGACACATTTTACGCCATTCCATTTTACTTGTTATGATTACATCGAAGCATGAATTATTTTGAATTTTGCAGCATGAATCGTGTTTAACAATGAATACCTTCTCTTATTTTCTTTGTCCTATATTTTCGGAAATGAACAAGGGTTTGTTCTTCAAGGTTAATACGTACCACTTGTAACAGATGCTGTTTAGGGGGAGCGTTTGTACATCATGTGACACATGTTCAACTTAAATACCCCATATTTGCCTCCTCATATTACTATCAGTTACAAGTTAATGATAGTCTCTCTAGGTCACATACTGACATATAAAGATCACTCTGTGGCGACACAATTCAATCTGGGGAGGCAAACCTTTGATGGGTTCGAATCCCCGTGGGTCCTTATTATGTTTCTAGGTTTGTTATCATGATCTGTATGACTTCGAACTGTTCTCCTACACAATAAACTTCACAGTGAAGTAAGCCAAGCTCACTCACTCATAAGAGATCACATGATAGTGACGTGAATAGGAGTGGGTTTGTAAAGGTGTGTGTGTGTGTGTGTGTGTGTGTGTGTGTGTGTGTGTAATAAAAGGGCTTTACCCGGTATAATGGGGTAGCCTGGTGGTTAAAGCGTTGGCTCGTCGTGCCGAAGACCGGGTTCAATTACCCACATGGGTACAATGTGTGAAGCCCATTTCTGGTGTCCCCGTGATATTGCTGGAATATTGCTAAAAGCGGCGTAAACCTAAACTCACTCACTCACTCACTGTACATGGTATACCCTTGTGGTGAATCGATGGTCATATCTCAGCTATATATTATCATGTATAAATGCCAATGTTTGCTTCTACTCGAATGTGTTTTACACACGTACGTCAGGATACGTCAGTTTTAAGATACCACATCAATCCATTATCATGTATAAAGGTCAACGTTTCCTTCCACTCGAATGTGTTTTACACACATACGTCAGAATACGTCAGTTTCTCAAAGTGCATTTCATGCATAAGGTCAACGTTTCGTTCCACTCAATGTGTTTTACACACATACGTCAAGAAATACGTTATTGTCCTCAAAGTGTTTTGAAAAAGCGTCCTTCGTTCAAAAATGGGATAATTTCAGTGTATATGAAAAGGATTTTTTTGTGTTTAATGGACATACTGGACATAACTGTCCTGTGCTGTGGTCTAATATATAACCTCTTTTACGCTTTTCTTTTTCCTTCAGACCCACCCACCCAATACCCCCCAAAAAATACCCCCACCCACCCCCACCCTGAAAAAGATAAAAACGAAAACAAACAAACAGAAGACAAGAAGAAAAAAACAACACAAGTCAAACAAAAGTCCTCGTCCCCCAACGGATTTAAACAGTCCGTCCTTAAAACAAAATACAGAGATTAAGGAGGACTACATATCACAACTAATAACTCTTCTCATGAGATGATATAACATAGTGATTAAGCCCTTGTGGCGGAGATCTGCAGATGTTAAATTAGCCGAGAATAAGATTCTCTGGCTGCAGGGAACACAGACGAGAAAGCCGTGATAAGTCTAGGACGTCCTGATTGTCGATGGGGGACTGTTGTGTCAAAGCGCAGTTTGAAATTGGCCAGCTGTATAAGGGCGGTTTGTAAATACGCACGTCTGGGTCTGCCAAAGTGAGCATGGTTTTATGGCTAATTTATCATGATTCCTGCAACATCTCTGCGGGGGACACCTGAAATGGGCTTCACACATTGTACCCGTGTGGGGAACAGAACCCGCATGTTTGATGTCACATGAAGCATCTTGTAGTCACTGACATTAACAACAATTAGTCCTAGGACACGAGCCGCCATATAGCTGGACTATTGCTGAGTGCGGCGTTAAACAACAAACCAACTAACCTAGGACACGAACTGACGAGCCAGATCACGTAATGGCCACCCAGTCTTCTTTTGTCGACTCCGGATTGAGTATGAAAGAAGAAATGGACACGGGGGTTCATTGACGTTTACGCATGTCCACAATAATGACATGCGCAGATTGACGTAACCTATCTGGATAAGGACAGACTTTATGGATGAACAACTTCTTTATTCAGGTGATGTAACGTTTCGATATAGATTACTGTATCGTTGTCAAGCAGGATACAATAATCTGTATCGAAACGTCGCATCACCTGACATTGTTCATCCATAAAGTTTGTCCTTATCTGAGTCTCCAACTTCTAAAAATGCCACTCACAGAAGCTGTAACCTATTTGATCGAACGCAATGGTGCCAACCCCTCCTCTAGGCATCTTGCATACCACTTGCGTTCCAGTTTAATAAGTCGTGGCTTATATCAGTGTACACAGCTAGTACAAGAGAATTCAACTGGGTTTCTATTGATTTGTTACTCTTTGGAAGAATATATGGCGGAAAAAAAATTCCAAGCTGAAATATTGGCATACGCGAATAAGATAACCATCCAACTTTCATGGCATCCATCGTACTGCATAACGACATCCGCCAGCTTGGCATCCGGCACACCAAAAGGGTTTGGCTCCTTCACGTACCTCTAAAGCTAAGAACGACGCAGACAGCAAAGAGTTTGGCTCCCTCAGGTATTATTTAAAGCTAAGAACGACACAGACAGCAAAGGGTTTGGCTCCCTCAGGTATTATTTAAAGCTAAGAACGACACAGACAGCAAAGAGTTTGGCTCCCTCACGTTTTCTCTAAAGCTAAGAACGACACAGACAGCAAAGAGTTTGGCTCCCTCAGGTATTATTTAAAGCTAAGAACGACACAGACAGCAAAGGGTTTGGCTCCCTCACGTATTCTCTAAAGCTAAGAACGACACAGACAGCAAAGAGTTTGGCTCCCTCAGGTATTATTTAAAGCTAAGAACGACACAGACAGCAAAGGGTTTGGCTCCCTCAGGTATTATTTAAAGCTAAGAACGACACAGACAGCAAAGAGTTTGGCTCCCTCAGGTATTATTTAAAGCTAAGAACGACACAGACAGCAAAGGGTTTGGCTCCCTCACGTATTCTCTAAAGCTAAGAACGACACAGACAGCAAAGAGTTTGGCTCCCTCAGGTATTATTTAAAGCTAAGAACGACACAGACAGCAAAGGGTTTGGCTCCCTCACGTTCTCTAAAGCTAAGAACGACACAGACAGCAAAGAGTTTGGCTCCCTCAGGTATTATTTAAAGCTAAGAACGACACAGACAGCAAAGAGTTTGGCTCCCTCACGTTTTCTCTAAAGCTAAGAACGACACAGACAGCAAAGAGTTTGGCTCCCTCAGGTATTATTTAAAGCTAAGAACGACACAGACAGCAAAGGGTTTGGCTCCCTCACGTATTCTCTCTAAAGCTAAGAACGACACAGACAGCAAAGAGTTTGGCTCCCTCAGGTATTATTTAAAGCTAAGAACGACACAGACAGCAAAGAGTTTGGCTCCCCTCAGGTATTATTTAAAGCTAAGAACGACACAGACAGCAAAGGGTTTGGCTCCCTCAGGTATTCTCTAAAGCTAAGAACGACACAGACAGCAAAGAGTTTGGCTCCCTCACGTTTTCTCTAAAGCTAAGAACGACACAGACAGCAAAGAGTTTGGCTCCCTCAGGTATTATTTAAAGCTAAGAACGACACAGACAGCAAAGAGTTTGGCTCCCTCACGTATTCTCTAAAGCTAAGAACGACACAGACAGCAAAGAGTTTGGCTCCCTCAGGTATTATTTAAAGCTAAGAACGACACAGACAGCAAAGGGTTTGGCTCCCTCAGGTATTATTTAAAGCTAAGAACGACACAGACAGCAAAGGGTTTGGCTCCCTCAGGTATTATTTAAAGCTAAGAACGACACAGACAGCAAAGAGTTTGGCTCCCTCACGTTTTCTCTAAAGCTAAGAACGACACAGACAGCAAAGAGTTTGGCTCCCTCAGGTATTATTTAAAGCTAAGAACGACACAGACAGCAAAGGGTTTGGCTCCCTCACGTATTCTCTAAAGCTAAGAACGACACAGACAGCAAAGAGTTTGGCTCCCTCAGGTATTATTTAAAGCTAAGAACGACACAGACAGCAAAGGGTTTGGCTCCCTCAGGTATTATTTAAAGCTAAGAACGACACAGACAGCAAAGAGTTTGGCTCCCTCAGGTATTATTTAAAGCTAAGAACGACACAGACAGCAAAGGGTTTGGCTCCCTCACGTATTCTTAAAGCTAAGAACGACACAGACAGCAAAGGGTTTGGCTCCCTCAGGTATTATTTAAAGCTAAGAACGACACAGACAGCAAAGGGTTTGGCTCCCTCACGTATTCTCTAAAGCTAAGAACGACACAGACAGCAAAGGGTTTGGCTCCCTCAGGTATTATTTAAAGCTAAGAACGACACAGACAGCAAAGGGTTTGGCTCCCTCAGGTATTATTTAAAGCTAAGAACGACACAGACAGCAAAGAGTTTGGCTCCCTCACGTATTCTCTAAAGCTAAGAACGACACAGACAGCAAAGGGTTTGGCTCCCTCAGGTATTATTTAAAGCTAAGAACGACACAGACAGCAAAGGGTTTGGCTCCCTCAGGTATTATTTAAAGCTAAGAACGACACAGACAGCAAAGGGTTTGGCTCCCTCACGTATTCTCTAAAGCTAAGAACGACACAGACAGCAAAGAGTTTGGCTCCCTCAGGTATTATTTAAAGCTAAGAACGACACAGACAGCAAAGAGTTTGGCTCCCTCACGTTTTCTCTTAAAGCTAAGAACGACACAGACAGCAAAGAGTTTGGCTCCCTCAGGTATTATTTAAAGCTAAGAACGACACAGACAGCAAAGGGTTTGGCTCCCTCAGGTATTATTTAAAGCTAAGAACGACACAGACAGCAAAGGGTTTGGCTCCCTCAGGTATTATTTAAAGCTAAGAACGACACAGACAGCAAAGAGGTTTGGCTCCCTCAGGTATTATTTAAAGCTAAGAACGACACAGACAGCAAAGAGTTTGGCTCCCTCACGTATTATTTAAAGCTAAGAACGACACAGACAGCAAAGGGTTTGGCTCCCTCACGTATTCTCTAAAGCTAAGGACGACACAGACAGCAAAGAGTTTGGCTCCCTCAGGTATTATTTAAAGCTAAGAACGACACAGACAGCAAAGAGTTTGGCTCCCTCAGGTATTATTTAAAGCTAAGAACGACACAGACAGCAAAGGGTTTGGCTCCCTCACGTATTCTCTAAAGCTAAGAACGACACAGACAGCAAAGAGTTTGGCTCCCTCAGGTATTATTTAAAGCTAAGAACGACACAGACAGCAAAGGGTTTGGCTCCCTCAGGTATTATTTAAAGCTAAGAACGACACAGACAGCAAAGAGTTTGGCTCCCTCAGGTATTATTTAAAGCTAAGAACGACACAGACAGCAAAGAGTTTGGCTCCCTCACGTTTCTCTAAAGCTAAGAACGACACAGACAGCAAAGAGTTTGGCTCCCTCAGGTATTATTTAAAGCTAAGAACGACACAGACAGCAAAGGGTTTGGCTCCCTCACGTATTCTCTCTAAAGCTAAGAACGACACAGACAGCAAAGAGTTTGGCTCCCTCAGGTATTATTTAAAGCTAAGAACGACACAGACAGCAAAGGGTTTGGCTCCCTCAGGTATTATTTAAAGCTAAGAACGACACAGACAGCAAAGAGGTTTGGCTCCCTCACGTATTCTCTAAAGCTAAGAACGACACAGACAGCAAAGGGTTTGGCTCCCTCAGGTATTATTTAAAGCTAAGAACGACACAGACAGCAAAGGGTTTGGCTCCCTCACGTATTCTCTAAAGCTAAGAACGACACAGACAGCAAAGAGTTTGGCTCCCTCAGGTATTATTTAAAGCTAAGAACGACACAGACAGCAAAGGGTTTGGCTCCCTCACGTATTATTTAAAGCTAAGAACGACACAGACAGCAAAGGGTTTGGCTCCCTCACGTATTTAAACCTAAGAACGACACAGACAGCAAAGGGTATGGCTCCCTCACGTATTTAAAGCTAAGAACGACACAGACAGCAAAGGGTTTGGCTCCCTCACGTATTTAAAGCTAAGAACGACACAGACAGCAAAGGGTTTGGCTCCCTCACGTATTTAAACCTAAGAACGACACAGACAGCAAAGGGTTTGGCTCCCTCACGTATTCCCCAAAGCTAAGGGTAGGACGACACAGACAGGCAGAGGCTCTGTAGACCTTTAACTAACTAAACCAGTAAAGCGCCATTGTGAAATGTGTCAAGACTATTCAGAACAATATTTCCTGGAGAGGGTTTCCAGATTTAAACCGGATTTAATTGGAGTCTTCCCGGTAACATTAATCGTGGCTTTGCCATCACAATAATACTTGACATTTGAATACTAGATGCAGGGAATGGCAAGAAAATAACGCGCGATTCTCCTCGCTTATCTGCACACGCCAGAAGCTTGGCAAGGATTATGTTGGGTTAGGCGAGTCAAGCGGCCACCACGGAATAGATTAAGTGATAATTAGATTGGAACGCTGTCTGATTCACTCAGATCAAGCTTTCATCACGGATTTGATTAAAACTAATATGTCATTACACCGGCACGTTACGGAACCTAGGTCAATTTAGGGAAAGATTGGATTAAGTTTTTGTTGCTATGGTAACGGATTACAGAACGGAGTTTCTGCTGGGAATGATTTGGTGACTAGGAGCAGAGATTAGGCGGCCAATGCCTCTCTTCAGCAGACATAGTCTACTCGAGTCAACTGGGTGCTACTTTGGTCGACGCCATCTTTGAGATCGTCTTGCCTGCGCCCTCAGCATGGCTTTTGTCGATGTCGACACAGGTGCTGCGCACGAATTTCTAAACAGTTAAAACGGAATTTTCATGTCTCGACTAGAAAATAACTTTTACTGTCAGTCAGGATTTGTAAGAATTTTGTCTAAAGTCAAAACAATGCCATGTGCATCAATTAGAGCCAGCGGGCTGTAGCTCACCTGGGTGTGTAGTCACCTACTCATGTCGTCCATA